ATCTCCTTGATAGCGATGCGTACTTTCGTGTGACGATCACGGCCTGCGTACACCACCCCATATGTGCCCTTGCCCAGAACCAGCCGTTCCCCGGTCTCTGAGTACTCATAGTCAAACTGTTGGGGGAAGGAAGGGGTGGGGTGAGATGAGGGTGTCAATGTAGCCTCCTTCACCTTGCCCACCTGGAGCTCCCAGTCCCACTTCCTCACCTCCAGCACCTCCCCCACACCCTCTGTCTCTTCGGCAGGTGCTGTGGAATCTGGATTTGTCACTGAGGTCTGGATCAGGGCGCAGAACCTGATGGTGGGGGAAGTCAAGCCGATGAGAGGGGCACCTTGGGCAGGAAACACCCCCTCCAGTGCTCAAAGCACCTAGGGGACATGGTCCCTTCCTTTCCCGCACTCTCCAGAATTCCTGGCACTCAGAGTACCCCTCCCCAGAAGCTGTACGCACCACTGGCAGTGCGCTACACTGGGGAAGCACAGCTGGATGTCCTGAGCTGGGGGAAGTGCATAGACGAAGCAGCAGCGCTCATCAAGCTTGGAGGTGCTGGGAAAGGACAAAGAATCCCAGTGAGCAGCAGGAGGTGGAGAGTTCCAGCTCCGTGTCCACTTTGACTACCACAGGCCTTACATCTCACCTGACGCCACAGACAGAGGCGACTGGGAAGGTCCAGCTGGAGGGCATGTCCTACAGGAAGAGAGACTCTAAGGGGGTGCTGGAGGATGAGAAAAGGGGCCAGGAGGGGGAGTAGAAGAAAGATTGGAAGGAAACAAAAAAGAGTACTCAGCTGACTTCACCTGGGTCTCTGGCTCCAACAGGTTGAGAGTCACAGCGCTCACTGGGTCAGTACCACAAACCTGGAGCTTGGCAGGCAGCAGTACTTTGTTCAGCTCCAGGATCAGCACCTGAGAAACCATAAGAGAGAGGGGTCAGGTTGAGTTGTCCCTCTCCCTGGCCCCTCACCCAACAGGCCTCACCAAGCACTGGTGCCCTTGTGAAGAGGTAGGCTTGAATGACTGACAGGACTGTAGCAAGAAGTGGAGCCAGAAGTGAGCGCGGTGTGGGGGCCCTCCAGTGGGCTCTGAGGTAGGTCTAAAGTGCTGGTATAGTAGAAAGGTTTCCATCACTGATACCAGGTACCTGCAAGCAGAGCTTTGTCCTCAGCTCAGCCCAGGCCACAGCGAGCACTGTGCCAGGAAGACAAGACTGGCTTGACTATAGCCAGGGTGTAGTAATTGGGTGCTCTTGTGCTCTGGCCTTGAAGGGACCAGGTTATTAGCTTAGGGCTCAGGCTAGAGTCCTAATGGACATGGGGACACGTCACCAGCCCAGCCCAGGCCAAGACCTACCAGATGGGGGCGTTGAGCTTATACAGCTGCTCTGCAGCCAGCGCCACCTGGGAGGGGTCATTGGCGAGAATCTGGGCGCCCAGGTAGAAGCCTACATCCCAATAATACTGCATCTTCTCCACGCAACCTTTGCAGGCCAGCAAGCAGCCCAGCTTCATGCCTGGAGGAGAGGGGCATGGGCCTCAGTAAAGGTGAAGTGTGGACAAGGCCCAGGTGTGGGCCGCACCATTCATGTGGGCATGTACACAGAGAAAAAATCAGGGGTGGGCAAGATCTCAGGAGGGAGTCAGGGATTAGGCACAGGTGAGGATTTGGGCACAAATATATATGAGATTCAGGGAGTAATGAGTGCAGGTGTGAACTTGGAAATAGGTATGTGAGAGCACAGATCAAAGAGGAGGATGACCCAAATGTGGGCAGAGAAGGAGATGAGCCAGTTCCAACCATGTTCTCCCTCCCTGCCCTTTTCCCTGGCTGCTCTGAGTTCCAACTGGTAAGATCCCATGGGAGCCAAGACAGACCAGGACCCACCTATGAGCCAGAGTTCCTCAGAGTCCTCGAAGCACTGGCCAGCAGCAATGAGGAGCACAGCTGCATTGATGCCTGAGTGGAGACTGGGCTCCACCTCAAAGGCCTTTCGATACCTGGCAGGAGGAGGGGAGGCAGGAAGGGCTAAGGGATGGACTGATGCCCACAGGCCCATCCCTCCTCCCCACAGCTTAGTCCACTGCCCACTTCCTTGTGCCCCTTACCAGTGATAGGCTTGCTCCCGGTGCCCAGAATCCTGGAAGCCAGAGCTAAAGAACATATCTTTGTAGACACGGCCACACATGCAGTACAGGTCAGGTGGTACAGAGCCCTGAAACTGGACCAGGGGCAGCAGCACAGCCAACGCCTTCTCACGGTCCCCAGGCCTATTCCTCCTGGGGGATGGAAGGGGAAGATGGGCTGGGGATCCCCCTGATGCCCCTGCCCTACCTAACCTTGTCCAGGGGCTGCCAGACCCTGTACACCAGGGACCCTTCCAAGAGCTTGATAACAATGACCCCAGAATGACTGTGACCTTGGTCAACCTCTAGAGGCAGTGACACCAGAAGGAAGTGATTCCTCAGTGTAATGGTTCTGAATATCAGTGACCTTGGACCATTGTGATCATTCTAGGGACAATAATCTCCTGTCCCCCCAGCATCAGTAACCCAAACCAACAGGGGCCTTTTGACATCAGAAACCCAGGTCAGCATGATCCCAGGTGGCAATGACCTCACACAGCAGAGACCCTGGCCACAGAGATTCCTCACCAAGGTTTGGCTTTGACCAAACCTTGCTCAGCACTCACCTGTTGAGAGCAAATGTGTAGTGGAAGCAGACATTGTACTGCTCGGCCACATCACTGGTGGGCAAAGCCTGCAACGTCTCCACCAGCTCAATGATAGCTGAGTAGTCCTGAGTGAGTGGGCAGCAAGTATTTAGCATGATGACCCCTGGGGGCCCCTTTGGCCCTCAGCTTCTAAGAAAAACCTTGCTCTGAGGGCCCCTCTCCTTACTTTTTCACCCACTTCCTGCACACCCAGACAGCACACATTGCTGAGCGCACCCAAGGTGTGCCCTGAGTGGCAATGTCAAGACTAGGCCCATTTACAAATGAGGAAATGGTGACTCAGAAAGTTTAGCTAATTTGCTCAAAGCCACCACCGAGTAAGAGGCATAGCAGAGAGCGTGGCTAGCTGTGACCTCTGCCCCTGACCTCTCTGTGCCCCCCACACCTGCACATCACGATAGGAAAGTAGCAGATTCATGACGATGTCGGGACTCAGCAGCTCCACGCTGTCCAGTCTCCGCTGCAGGCGAGCCAGCTCCTGCCGAAGCTGCTGTCCACTGAAACGTTCCCGTGCCCGCCGGATGTCCTGCCGAATGGTCTCCCGGAAATAGCCACTGGTACCCAGAGCAGAGAGCATGGTTTGGCTCACCTTTCAGACCCAGCCCACTGTACCCTCACCAGCCCCCTCCTGATGCCCCTGCCCCTTGGGTCCCCAATTACCAAGAGTCTGTGGGTGTGGCCTCCAACAGGCGGGCCAGCCGCCCCACCAGTGGTGTTAACAGGGCCTCAGTGCCCACCCCAGCCTGCACCAGCCCATCAGCCAGGCCCCTCAGAACACTTGCATCACCACACAGCACCCGATTGGTGGCTGTCACCATATAAGGGATCAGTGTGTAGCTGCCAACACAATCCTGGGGGAGGGGGGTCAGAGGTCAGCACAAGGTTAGGGAGGGGCAGTGAGGGGTCAGAGAACAGCACCAGTGGGGATTAGAATAGCAAGGAAGGGGTACACTTCATGAAGGGAGGGAATAGGGAATAGAGGATCACATTGGAAATCAGGAGCATTAGGGAGGTAAGAAGTGACAAAAAAGACAGTGGAGATCATAGGTCACCATGGAGGCCAAAGGGCAGTTTGGAGGGTCTACTCACTGAGTTCTTCTGGAAAACATCCTCCTGTAGGAGGCCAAAAGTAAAAACTGGTGTTCTGGGTAGGCCCCACCCAAGCCCTGCAATTACTCCCACCAGTCAGCCAGCTAGCCACATACCCGCAGGGCCTGCAGGTCAGGGAGGTCAGCCTGCGAGCAGAGGAGCACGTTGTTGGTCATGCTGAAGCTCTCCCGCACACCAAGGTGGTAGAAGAGGGAGGGCTGTGCCAACGAGCTGCTCACCTCCAGTACCACCACATCTGCAGGCACAGACAGGGAGCCTGGAGGTTGGTGGGAAGGAGCCTGGGACCCATCCTGGCTCAGCCTGCCTTTCAATGTGACTCCAGCAGGATGTAAAGCTTCTCCCGGCCTCAGTTTTCTCCTTTTAGTGTCCTGCTTTTAGAGTCACATACAACAGGTATCTGTGGTGTTGCAGGAGAGGAGCTGAGCTCACTGGTCCACTGTCTCCTTCTTGAAGAGGTTGAGGACCCAGGCGTGCCCTTCATGGCACTGTTCAGAGCCTGGTCCAGACTAGGAGAAGCAGTTGTGCAACCACAAGACTCCTGTTCCCTGGGCCCTCAGCCCAGGCTCTTAAAAGGCTCTCCTAACAGCAGAGACAGCAGTTTTCCTATGTCTGTGAATATAACTGTCCGACTCTATCTCTGTGTGTGACAGTGTCTGTGAGGCCTGTGTACGATTCGTGTATTTGTGTGTCTTTGTGTCTTCAGGGCCAGAACAGCACTTGTTTCTAGGCAACAATTTCACAGATGCCCCAGCAAACACAAGTTATCCCACTCTTGGAAAAACACATAAGGATTGGTGAGCGAGGCGTCCTGTTTGGTGAGTGAGAAGGGCGACCACGGGGGAAGTCTGACCGACTCAGCCCTGCCCAGTCTCTTGGGGCTAGTAGGACCTCATAACCTAAGCTCCTTCGCCCAGACTTGGGTATCATTAAGTTTCGCTTTCCGTTGCTGTTAATTGTGACTGACTGAGCTCTGTTAGCGTAGTGCTTACGAATTGGGCTGCGAACCTCAAGATCTGCAGTTCGAAACTACCCGCTGCTCCGCGGGAGAAAGATGAGGCTTTCTGCTCCCGTAAAGATTTACAGCCTCAGAAACCCTGTATAGGGTCGCTATGGGTCGGAACCGACTCGACGGCACTTAACAACAAAAACAATAGCGACTCTACGACAGAGTAGAACTGCCCCCATTGGGTTTCTAAAGCTATAAAGCACACTGCCACATCTTTCTCTCGCAGAGCAGCTGGTGGGTTCAAACCGTTACCCTTTTAGTTAGCTGAAGAGCGCTTTAACCTGGGTCACCACAGTTCCTTAGTCGTGTGCTAGATCCCCTAAACTCTATTCTCTAAACCCGTGCCCTTTCCCTAGTCCAATAGCCGCTTCCAGCATCCAACCTAGGAGCTCGCCTGAGATCTTCCAGATCTTCAGAGAACTACTTCACCAACCCCAACTGTTAGGGTCCACGGTCCCGCCTTACTCATAGCCCTGCCCAGGATCTCTAAGCCCCGCCCCAATCCCCCTGCCCGCCCCCCGCCAACTCTCCAGGCACAGCTTTGACTCCAGGGTGTTTAAGCCCCAGTCTTGAATTCCGGAGCCGGGCCGGATCGCCTAAGCCCCATCCCGAGCCTGGACGTGCTCCACACTCCTTAGATTGTACTTTTATCATGGTCCTAACTTAAACGCCCCAACTTTAGCTCCTTTAAGCCTCATTTCGGTCCCTCACTCTCTCACCGCAGCCGCCTCACCCCGTTTCCATTTGGCCCTTTCCAAGCCCTCCAAAGCCCCGCCCCGGGCTTGCCGCGTCCCGCCCGGGTGCACGCTCACCAGCGTTGTAGAAGGAGTCGAGAGCGGTGGTATCACCCAGCGCCAGTGTTCCGAAGGGCAGGCTGCGCAGCTGCGGCGAGGGCCGTCGCCCCTGGAGCTGCGAGCAGGCCTCGCGTAGACAGCGCAGGGGCAGCGGTTCCGCCTCGGCTCCCGCTCCCGTCTCCGCCCCGGGCTGCGGTTCTCGGGTCAGCACGTAGACCACGCTGAGTGGCCGGCTCCAAGTGCATCCCCGGCCGGGTGGCGCTGCAGGCAGCGGGCCCTGGCTTAGTGCCTCGGCCAGTGGGTCTTGCCAGCAGCTGCCGGCACATTCCAGGGTCCCCGACCGCGAGCATGACCCCGCCATGAGGGGGCGCTCATACGCGGGGTGCCCAGCTCTGGGAACCTAAGGCGGGGCAGGAGCAAGGAACTGCAAATCCAGAGAACTTGGGGTCGGAAATCCGGTCGGGATCAGGGAATTTCCTGCAGGATCTAGAGATCAGTGTCTGGCTAAAGGTCTTGTTCCTAGAATCTGGAGTCCAGGTCGGAATTCGAGTTCGAGCTTGTAAGGTCCTGAAAGTCTGAAATCCGGGAGTGGGTCCTAGAAATCTGCCGTGTTTGGTGATCCGTGGCTCAGGATCACAAGAGGTTATCCCGGGAATCGGTCCGGCCGCGCCACCACCCTGACTTAGGGGAGCCCCTGCTTTCACACTCCCTTGTCCTCACTTGTAGACTGGGCCCAGCCCCTTCCCGGCCAGCCAAGCCAGAAAAGCTCCACCCTCAGCCCTCGGGCAGAGCCGCTCCCTCCCGATCCGGGACTCACACTCTTCCCTCCCAGTCTCCAACTAGAACCTAGCAGACAGGCCCCTTCCGGAACGACCTGTGTCAGGGTGCACGCCGACTGTGGGCTGACTGATCACAGCAGATTCTCTTAGGATGTGTGCCCAGGTGGAAAAAGGTGCACATTGTAGAGGGTGCAGGGATCTACTGAATGAATGAATACACGGAAACACCAGCGTGTGCAGAACAGTGAATTGTGGGTGTCCTCCAGAACTCAGGTATACAGACAGACAGGAATGGGGGAACCTGCTCCTTGGGTTGCCAGCAGACCCTCAGCCCTGAGTCAGGACCTTTGACCTCTTGCCAGAGGGCTGCATTTCCCATAAGTCAACCTGCTGTGGAGGCCTGCTGACCTCTGACCTCGACCCATAACCTGATAATGGAAACTGAGAAGTCCTTCTCTTCTGTAAAAATAGCTTGGTGGGCTTCTGACCCCCTCCAACTTCACAAGGCACAAGGGAGAAGGAAACTCAAAATCAACAGCCTAATGATAATTTCTATGAGCCAAACTTCAGACATATATCCTCTCTCTAACTTTTATTTTTACTACCAGCTATCCCTCCCACTGCACTCTCTACTTCTCTGCTGGGTTCAAAACTTCATTGCAATGTTTTTGTTAAGTGCATCAGTTCTGACTCATAGCAACCAAACTGCCAACTTTGTGGTTAGTAGTCCACTGCTGATTCCACTACAGTGCCATACCAGGACAATAGTCACAGAGAACTCACAGACACAGAGAACTCACAGACTGTACTCAGAAGATTCATAAGGGAAGTAATAGTTAGAGCTCAGGATCATAAATGACTCTCCCTTGGCCTCTTGGCCTTCATTTTGCCTTGCTTGAGCAAGAGTGTTACAAAGCTCTTTAGCTCCACTAATAAGTGCCAGGGGCACCCCACTCTGCCAGTAAGCCTTGACCTTAAGACACTCAGCTCTCTCGTGCTCCCCTTGTGAGTCAGCACACCCATTGTAGCTTCCTCACTTCTCAGGCCAGTCTCCTGGGTCTGCTGCCGCCATTTCTCTACTGCTGCTTCTCACCATTTCTGGTGTTATAGCTCTTTCTGTCTCCTGGGTCTAAAAGGTTCTCAGCACAAAGACTTTGGGTCCAAAGGATGGACTCTACTACTAACTTTTCTTTATTGGTGGTAGCGAGTTCATGCCTCTGTTTTGGGATTGCTTTCTTTTAAGCCTAGATTATTGTTGTTAGGCACCATCCAGTCAATTTCATCTCATAGCAATGTTACACAAAACAGAATGAAACACTGCCTGGTCCTGTGCCAACTTCACAATCATTGTTATGCTTGAGCCCATTACCACTGCCACTGTGCCAATCCATCTCACTGGGGCTCTCCCTTTTTTTTTTGCTGACCCTCCACTTTACCAAGCATGATGTCTTTCTCTAGGGACTGGTCCCCCTGACAATATATCCAAAGTATGGAGACTAAGTCTGGCCATCGTGGATTCTGGTTGTACTTCCTCCAAAACTGATTCGTTTGTTCTTTTGGAAGTCCATGTTTCTTGTAATAGCCTCCTCCAACACCATAACTCAAATGCATCAGTTCTTCTACGGTTGGTCGTCCTTAGTCACTGTCCAACTTTCACATGCATATGAGGATATTGAAAATGCCATGGCTTGGGTCAGGTGCACCTTAGTCCCCAAACTGACATCTTTGCTCTTCAAATATATGCCTAATGCAATATGTCTTGTGCAGCAGATTTGCCCGATGCAATAAACCATTTGATTTCTTGACTACTGCTTCCATGAGTGTTGATGGTAAATCCAAGCAAAATGAAGTCTTTGACAACTTCAACCTTTTCTCCATTTGTCATAATGTTTATTTATTGGTCCAGTGGTGAGGGTTTTTGTTTTCTTTACATTGAAGTGCAACCCATAGCAAAGACTGTGCTTTTTAATCTTAATCAGTAACTATTTTAAGTCCTCTTCACTTTCAGCAAGCAAGGTTGTATCATCTGCATATCCCTGTGGACCTCTTCTGTGGACCAATCCTCCTCTTCCTTTAATCCTGATACCATGTTCTTCATATATTTCAGCTTCTTGGATTATTTTCTCAATATACAGATTGAATAAGTATGGTGAAAGAATACAACCTTGATGCACCCTAATTAGGGTCTCGTGCACCTTAGTTGCATCATCAGCAAGCTTCCCAATCCCCTTTGTGCACAATCAACCCCTTATTTTCATAGTCACACTGAATCATTTGGTGAAAATTACAAGAACAAAGAAAGAAAGGCCTTGTAAAATAAAAGTGATTCATCACACCACACCCACCAGCTCTAAATCCCCCCAAATCCCTAACCTTCTAGTTTGAATTAGCTAGTGACTGAAACCTCAGTAGACGCTGAAGTCAAGAACAGGAGACTTAAAGAGGTTGTGTAACTTGTCCAGGATTATTCAGCTGCATGACAAAGCAGGATTCAAACCCAATACTACCTGTGACTGCAGATATTAGATGTCTAAGCATTTATTTTTCGTTCACTTACTAGAATGTGGTGTTGAACAAATTAACTGTTCAGAAAGTGCTACCTCACTGGCTTCTGTTTCACAGTCCAAAATGTACTTTCCTTGGTTTGATCATAGGTTCAAGTCAACCCCCAATGGGGCAGACAAGAAGTAGCAAAGTGAGGAGGGGGAGAGAAAGGAATAGCCAGAAACATCACCATAGAAAGCTTGTAAGTCCATCTTCTGTCTATAAATGATTGGAATACCTAAAATGGGGTGACAACGTGCCCAGTGAAGGAGGCTTCCTGCAGAGCCTCTGCATTACATAAGACTATAGGTGGAAGCCTGAACCACATCCAGATCTTCTGAGATGGGAAATTTCCACTTGAAAGGATGAGCAGACCAGCCTGGAGCGGCTAGAACAGAAGATACTTCTTGAAAGAAACATCGACAGGAAAAATACAAAACAATATAGGCAGACCGACTGTTACAACAAGAATAAGCAAGTTGCTTGCCCAGGACACACCAAGGCAAGTGGTTGGGTCCCCTCAGTGTAAACCCCCTTCCAAGACTAAGACTCAATGGGAATACATGCTCTGATTGGTGACCATGCTCGTCACCGATAAGGGGAAGTGAGGGAAAAACAACAATGAAGCTGCAAGCTAAGCCCTACAATGTTCAATAGACTCCTGTGAACCCGGGTGGAGACCTGGTTGGCCAGCAGTGTGACAAGACCTGGGCACTCTTGGGCCCAGAGTCAGTGGCATAGCCACAGAGGACTAGAGTGGAGAGTGAAGCATCCAGCTGATAAGAAGAGAGGGCATGTGCACAAGAACACCCACACTTGCAGATAATACCCACTTGACCTGGCTTCAATGACTGGATGATCAGCGCTCAACCAGAAGAAGAAAGAAGAGGAAAAAAAGAGTAATCTGATACAATTTGATGAACTTGACCTACACCTATGGATGCAGTAGCTCAAAAAAGGGAACAAATCTTTACATCAAGGATCATTCCCACCCCCTCCATACACAGAGTAGACAGGGATGGGCAACTTGGACATTGGCTACCCAAAAAGGGGGGGGGGGGTTGCTGCTGCAAAGGCAAGAAGTGATTGGCTTACAAGCTTTCAAGAGGGAACCTAGATTCAGAGGGCATGAAGGAAGGTAGAATCTCTACTGAGTAGTACACAATCTGTCTTGGCGGGGCTGATGAAATGAAATGAGGATGGGTCTCTTGTGATACAATAGTGAATCATTGTTATCAGGACTGCTTGTGAGGGTTGGAAATGTAAAGGTAGACATTTTATAGCAAGGAGGGGAGTGATTAACTTTTCAGCCTAGGAGCGAAGGTCCCTGGGACCATCAAGGGAGAAGAGCAGAGAGCGGGACCCTACCCAGAGAAGCAGCGATGCCTGAGAGGGAGGCAGAGACGATGACATGGAGAAATGGAGCAGTTGGGGACTTTAGACACAGAGAGGGAGAGGGGCTGTGTGCTGATGACCGGGGGGCAGGCTTGTAGTGTATACCCTTTGGTTGGTTGATGATGCATGGAGGGGATTGTAACCAGGGCAATGAAATGATATACGATAGGATGAATGTAAAACTAATGTTCTCCCATGTAAACTATCACATAATTCACAATAAAACATTAAAAAATAAAGAAAGAAGTAGCAAAGTGAGAACTTGGCTTACAACAGCCCAATACAAAAAACGAAGCCACTGCCATTGAGTTGATTCCGACTCACCACGACTCTACATAGGACAAGATAGAACTGCTCCTTAGGGTTTCTCAGACTGTACATTTTTACAGGACAGCCAGCCTCCTTGTTCTCAGAGCAGCTGGTAGGCTGGAACCACCGACCTTGCAGTTAGCAGCCCAATGCTTAGCCCAGAGAGTCACCAAGGCTTCTAAATACAGAGGGTGAGAAAGCTACAATTCCTGCCACAAAATTATCCACTTACAGGACCTCTGTGCCCTCCACTGAGTGCCCCTCTGGTCCTGACTTGTACACTTCCAGAGAAGACGGAAGCCTCAATTCCTTATGAGGCAGTCCCTTCCACTTC